AGTATTTGTAGACAAATAATCGTCAAATGCCTCAAATTGCTTTTGCGACTCCTCGACAACACAGACTCAGTCCTGCCTAACAAGTGCAGCCACTTCATTTAAGAATGGCGTTTACCACTCCATTGTGATCTGCGGGTTTGTGGTGTGGAGAAAAGACAGGCCGATTAATTAGCTAACCGCCTGTTGGATCTCCAGTGGCCTTAAGCCGCAGCGGAAACAGACAGAGAGGCTTTGGGTAAATACCCTGTACTAAATGAGCTGGGAAATTATTGGATGTTTATAGCCGTGCGACTTTCTCCGGGAGCGGGAGTAAACACAAACACTCCACACCCACGCACACACACTCACACAAAAGAGTGGAAAACTTCATATAGCCCATAGAGGAGAGACACACAGACGCATGAGAAGAGCCCTGCCCCCGAAAAATACAACCCATTTTAACTATCTGCCACACACACACTGTAAAACTTGGGTGGGACGTGGAGTAATGCCAGTCCTCTGAAACACCTGGTGACCTCTTCAGTGGAGGAAGTACAGTTATGGAGAGGTTTAGTGGTGGAATTTAAAAGACAAACAGAACACTGGGATTTCTTGTTGACTGACAAATCTGACTTATTTAATTGCAATTGGGAATTTTGCAACTTATCCGTTTACTAAAAAAAATTTAGCAACTTATCCACAATGGCAAGTTAAAGTACTTTTCATTAGCATAGCATCTTTGCACTAATTCTGACAATAAAAACTGAGAACAGTCAAAATTGACATTGCCATATTTTGTTTTTCTGCAATATACAGTTGTAGTCAGAATTATTAGCTTGCTTGTTTATTTTTTTCCCAATCTCTGTTTAACAGAAAAAAAATTCTAAACATAATAGTTTTAATAACTCATTTCTAATAACTGATTTATTTTATCTTTGCCATGATGACAGTAAATAATATTTTACTAGATATTTTTCAAGACACTTTTATACAGCTTAAAGTGACATTTAAAGACTTAACTGGGTTAATTAGGTTAACTGGGCAGGTTAGGGTAATTAGGAAAGTTATTGTATAATGATGGTTTGTTCTGTAGAATATAAAAAAAAATATGTAGCTTAAAAGGGCCAATAATTTTTTGACCTTCAAATAGTAAAAAAAATATTTAACTGTTTTTATTCTAGCCAAAATAAAACAAATAAAACTTTTTCCAGAAGAAAAAATGTTATCAGACATACTGTGAAAATTTCCTTTCTCCATTAAACATCATTTGGGAAATATTTAATAAAGAAAAATTCAAAGGGGGGCTAATAATTCCAACCTCAACAGTAAGTATATATATATATATATATATATATATATATATATATATATATATATATATATATATATATATATATATAATGAAATAAAATTAGCCACCTAACATCTAACATTAGCCACCATGCATATTTGATATCCGATGCTCAAATTAAATTAAATATCTAAAAGTGGACTAAAATAAATTATTATGGAAAGTTGTTAAAATGAAATGTTTAAAAACATATAAATGGTACCTAATGCTCAAAATGATCAAATGTAATTAAATAAAAAAAAAATAATGAATTGGCCAAGCATCTGATGCTAGAAATAAAATGTTTAAAAATATTTGAATATAGCTGCTAAAAAGCTGGAAAATCTAGTTAAAAAATAGAAAAAAAAAACGAAAATATATTAAAGTATAATTCAATTCAAACTTTTAATAATAAAAAACCCTAATATAGCAATAATATAATTTAGCATACATATAATACAGCATATATACGTTCTTGAAGAGAAACATTCAACAATACCATCAAATGCAGACAACAAATATAGTTTGTTATCAGTTCTTCCTTAAAAATTCATGTAATACTGAGGACGCTTTACTGAGAGTTGAACTTTGGGTTGGGTGTCGATGCTGGAATTGTGTGTGTGATGTGCCACTGTATCTGGGGGGACACACATTCACAGTGACAGCCCAGCGGAGCCGCCTACTGTTTTCAGACCCTCTTGAGAGGTGTTCACCTTTAACCTTTACTCTGTGACCCCCACACAATGAGCCAGAGCCGGTCTGGAGTTAACAAAACACACAAACACACACACATATACAGCAACAATGTCCAAAAGAAGGGGCGCACAAAGATCTCATTAAGAACAATAAATATCCAATTCCGAAGGCTTGAACGACTGCAGATTGAAACTCAACTCTGTTTTTTTTTTTGTTTTCTTCTCCATCAGGTTTTATGATGCTCCGGGCAAGCATTAAGAAAAACCAAAGACCAGCCTTGGATTGGAAATGAGAGAAGATTTATGTCAGATGTGCCGAGGACTGTTTTATTCGCACATGTATTGTAATCAAAGCCATGTTTGTCTCTTCTGTAGCAGAAGTGTTTTTTGTTTTGTTTTGTTTTTTAAATGAATGTAAGTGAATGAGCCATGGAGATCCTACTGCTGCCAAACATGCTGCAAACTCATCACTCAATCAGGTTGAGTTGGAGCAGAATCATTGTAAATAGTAAGGACTGAATGAAATGTGTTTATATGTAAGTTATGCACTTCAAATGTTTTATTATTATCTTGATTTATTAAAAGTGTATTGTCTTTTCAGATGGGTTTAGTGTGCCTTATTGATTTACTACTTGCCATAGAACATAGCTATAGAATTTACAAAGTGGCAACATGGTGGCTCAGTGGTTAGCACTGTCGCCTCACAGCAAGAAGGTCGCTATCCCGGCTGGGTCAGTTGGCATTTCTGTGTGGAGTTTGCATGTTCTCCCAGTGTTAGTGTGGGTTTTCTTCAGGTGCTCTAGTTTTCTCCAGAGTCAAAAGACAAGCAGTACAGGTGAATTGAATAAGCTAAAGTAAAGTTTCACAAACTAATTTCCAGAGGGACACATGATATGATTGAGCACAACTGGCTTCTCATCTGTAATCAGTAATAATCCAATCAGAGTGATCCAAGCTTACTATAAATGGATTTTCTTCCTACTGCTCTATCTTCGCTTTGGAAGAATCCCCCCTTCCACCCCATCTCCTCCTTTTCCTCCCTTTTCTAAGGGGGAGTTCTCGAGACCTACCTGATCTCGGATACCCTTTATATGCTTATTGACCTTGGGCTCAAGTATCTCCGAGCTCAGGGTTCTCTCCTGGGACAGCACGCCAAACCTGCTATAAACGCTAAGCATATCTAAGTGGGAACTGCTGAACTGGCCGTAATGTATATTTGTGAATAAGAGTGTATGGGTGTTTCCCAGTACTGGGTTGCATCCGCTGTGTAAAAAATTAGCTGGATAAGTTGGCGGTTTATTCGCTGTGGTGACCCCTGATGTATAAAAGGACTAAGATGAAGGAAAATGAATGAATGAATTTACAAAGTTGCAATATTTGTGTGAAATGGGTTAGATATTAGATGAAATGGGTTAGTTTTTGTCTGACAATGTTTTTAAACAACGAGCTTGACATATGATGAATTGATCCAGAGCAAACCCATCACTTTCCTTATTGTTGACCATCATTCTCATCAACAGATTTGTACATTTTCACTAACAATATGGTAAACACATATCATATCGCCAACCTCTTCCGATTCTCATCACTATTTTATGCCCATTAGGCTTCATGAATATATTTTAACAATTTTGTAACTGTAAAGTCCCATGGTTTAATAATTATTACATAAGGATACTTTACAAATGTTAATTCAGCTTTTCTTAATCAGTTATGATATCTCCAGCTTAATCTCACAAGGAAACATAACTATTTGATGTTTTATCAGTTTAGTGGCTAATTTGTATGAATTAGGTTAAGTTAAAGAAAAAATTTTAAAAAAATTTAAAAGAGGGAAAATACCTCCGCTAAACCCAGACATCAGTGTGAGTTGAGCACAGAAGTTGTACTAAAATATACTAATGAGATCATACAAACTAATACCAATTAGCCAATAAATCAAAACATTATGAATTGGCATGAGATGGTGTGGGATTTCTCGCAATTATTGCACTTGCACTGATTTACAGTTTAACATTTTATAACAACATTGTATTATTTCTAAGAAAAATGATTTTAACATTTTTATTTTTGTGGCTCAGTGGTTAGCACTGTCGCCTCACCGCAAGAAGGTCACTGGTTCAAGTCCCAGCTAGGCCAGTTGGCATATCTGTGTGGAGTTTGCATGTTCTTCCCATGTTGGCGTGGGTTTCCTCCGGGTGCTCCAGTTCCTCCAAAGACATGTGCTTTGGGTGAATTGGATGAACTAAGTTAGTCATAGTATATGTGTGTGAATGAGTGTATGGTTGTTTCCCAGTTCTGGGTTGCAGCTGTAAAAGCATCCACTGCATAGAAACATTTGCTGGATAACATAGGGGTTCATTCCGCTGTGGCGACCCCTGATCAATGAAGGGACTAAGCTGAAAGTAAATGAATGAATGTTTTGCTTAACATTTCTGACATTTCACACTTCTGATTGATTTACAAATTTGACCTATTTTATGGCAATTGTGAGTTGTGTGACTTTCAAACTTAACAAGAATTCTGACCAACATTCTTGCAATTAAACTTTTTCATTAAATGACTTTTTTTTAACAAATTTTGACTGTTCGGTTTCTATTTTGCAATTCTTACATTTAATCTCAGAATTGACAAAGTTGTAATTCTGAGATTAAAAGTAAGAATTGCAAAATAGAAACCGAACAGTCAAAATTAGTTTAAAAAAAAAGTCATTAATGACTTATCATGTAATTAATATTTTCTTTTCTCAGAAAATATACAATAAAAAAGATATTTAGTTTTTTTTATTGTTTACTTTATGGCAGAAACATTCGTTTTCGCCTATATTCAAGATGCAAACAATTATTAATTATTCTTTGTAACACCTCATCATTCAATTTAAAACTGATACAGGAAAAACATTTGTAACCAACGAGAATAAAGATCTAATTTAAAAAAACCTAGAAACACATTCAAGCTATTTTTTTCTTTATCTTGCCAAAACTCAATAGACCAAATTAAAATCTGTTCAATTTTATTTCAAAAACAAGTTTCAATCCTTTCATTCACATTAGTTTAGATAAAAACACAGTGATTCAAAAGCTCTGTGACATCCAGTATTAGGACTAATGCTTTCCCCGGTGGCTCCAACACTGATCAACAAACCCAAAACACAAATGCTGCACTAAAGAACGGAAATGAAGCACACAACTAACGAACACATTTCTGCTCTCACATAAACCCACTTAGAAGAGCAGAAGTTAAACGACAACGCTTTAGCTCTGATCAAATCCAACTCACAATGAGCATCTCCAGTCAACATTTTCGGCAGCGGAGGTTTCTGACTTTCTAATTGTGGCCATTGTTTACCCCGACTTGTCATTAGAGAGGTTACCAGGGTTCGTTTCCCCCCAAAAGCCTTCTGATCAGTGAGCCATGGCTGCCGATGCCAGTCTAGATAGACGCGCTCTCACGTTCACACGCAACCATTCAGAACTCATCATACGCACAGTCAGCCGTGAGTGTGTGTGTGCGCAGGAGTCAGGCTCTGATCTGCTGGCCGGTCAGTGTCAGGATCCTGCGGCTCAGAACGCTGTTGTGCTGTTTCAGATAATCAATCAGGTCCGCCTGCTTCTCCACCACATCCTCTAGACTGGAGCCATCTCTGGCAAAACAGACCACAACACACACATGCACCTGTTTCAGATCTTCACAACACATGGGATAGAAATTTGTGTGTAGGAAAACAAACAAACAAACAAACAAACACACACACACACGCGTATATTTAGGAATGTCCCAATAGAGTGTTTTTAATGATACTTTTTCAGTCGGGTATATTGGAGAGTATCATATCATATCATATGTTTTATTGAATGCCATGTCTGCTTCATTTTTTTTTTATTATACAAAAAGAGCAAGGTTTTTGAGACTCTCCATGTTTGATTTGGTTTTTATATACACAATAATGCCGTCAAACTGTTGTATAAACGCAATATCACACTCGTAGCTGTGCGATATTGCTGTATATCGGCACTAGTGGGGGCACAATGCACGCCTCCTACCAGTGCCGATATACAGCCATATCGCACTGCTACGAGTGTGATATTGCTCATATATCTCAATCATCGCAAGAGCTTTCAGATAACACCACCTAAATTTGGTGCTGATACAATAAAATATGTGGGAGTTTTGTTTTTTTACAGCGTAAAACATGACATTTCCTGTTGCCAGTAGGTGGTGCAATAACTGTAACTGGATATTGGCATGTAAACATGTTCAGGTCAGGACTTTTATCAAACATGTGGACTTTGAGGCAGATCAGACAATGTATGAGTTATAACAACTTCCTGTTTCATGGCAAAACGTCAACGTTTAAGAGGACTTTTAAAGAAATCAGACCTTAATCATGGCATTTTTATAATGGAAAGACAGTTCACTGGAAGCACCGAGGCTGGCTGGCCGAAAATAAAAGTCTGTATGCATATACCCCATTGGCTTTTCAAAAACTCTGGTGGATACAGTATATATTTTGGTCAATCACTGCTGAGTGTTACCTGAAGCCAGTCTCTGTGTGTGCGTCGCTGGAGCAGCCGTAAGATCTCTCCTCTTCAGTCACGTCAGGATGCGGCTTCTTTCTGTTAAACTTCACCACATGCACTGAAACAAACAAAACACAAGCAAACATACAATTAACAAGAAGTATGAGCTCTTGTCAAACTATTTTCCTTCCAATAACGCTCCATAAACAAAACCCACGAATCTGAGAGCAGAAAACTAAAGTTTCTCCATGTCAAACTGTTTAAAAGTAGTAAGTATTAAAAGTATTAGTAGTTTTGGTGTGGGAAAGTCAAATAAATTTACTGTCGCCATTTTAAAATTGCAATAATAAATGTCAAGGATAACTAGAAAATTATATTCTAAATGTTTACACATTTACTTTATGTACTGAATAAATTGAGTGGAAAAAGTGAGATATTAGTGTTTGTTTACTTGAAACATTTAGATAATCCGACATGGCATTTCAGTTAAATAAATCTACATTCAAAACAAATGATAATCAATTAACATTGACTTTATTTATTTAGGAGTGTTAGGCTGATATTGACAAGTTATTTTCGCTTGATATAAGATTAGCAAAATGTAAATTTATTTAAAAACGTTCCAAGTATTTGTTTTCAGTGTAGTAAAGTATTTGGTTGTCATTGTTAAAAAGAAAAGCAGTGGAACTAATCCAGACAGAAATGTTGATAGTTGTGGTTTGTGTCTGATGGTGCAAGACTTGCTTAAACGTGAGCGAGGTGTTTGAAGACACACGTTCGGTGTGTGTGTATGTGTGAGCAGGAGCCGCGTTCAGAGCAGCTATTCCTCTCCACAAGGTGTGCTGGTAGACGCATAGCTAGTGTGTGTTTTGGAAGAGTGAGAATGCGAGGCAACTGTGTGAATTCACACGTCGCTTCCCTCCTCTCTCACACCTTTAATGTGTCTCTCAATCAGCAAACTTTCACTCCATACACTGCGACGCAACGGCAAATTCAAACAAACTGAATCCAAAATTAAAGAGTTCAAAATATGTGTATAATCCTAAATAAGTGACAGATCATATCTAAAATATCTCAATAGTGTTTTGCTAGGGTTTTGGATATTTTTGTGGTCCATTTGAGTTTTGTTTATAGTTTGAATTTATATTCTTATTCGGACACTAAAAAATGTAGTAAATTCAAGGAATCATCTTTGAATGATTTTTTTCAAGGTAATTGGTTGCAAACAACTTATTTGGGCTGAATCTAAACAAACAAATTAAGTTGAACATTACTAAATTTAATTTGTTAGTTTAAATTTAATTCACACTGAGGAAGGCTTTGTGCCGAAACGTCTGTCTTTTAACCACCCGTAAAATGTAAGAAAAATAAAAAATAAAAACAGTACGAAGCAATTGAGTGCGAATCATTACCTTTTTTGAAATTTAGTTTAAATTCAACCCATATAAATGGTTTGGAACAATTGTTTGCATCATTTTTTTTTCAGTGTACAGTATAGGCCTTTAACATCTGGCAAAGGGACTAGCAATGAAAACTAGTCTTTGGGCTAATTGGGGTATATTTATGTTTTTGAGGAATGTTGATTAATCTACATAGTGATTTGTTGTGAAATAAATTAATAAATAAATAAATACTGTGCTGAATACTTTTATCAGTTATTAAATGGTTTGATGTTTGCACTATAAATCATTTATTGCATTGAAAACATCTATTTTAAATTAAACACAATTTATTAAAAAACTATTGCTATCTTTTTCATGTTATACATATTTTACTAAAACAAAAATACCATCACAATAAAATAATACATATTAAAATAATATTCAAATAGAAAAATAATAATAACATTAATGATTTAAATGCAGACTTTGTCAGGTTAATTAATTGGATGTTCTTACTTGCGTAGTACATGGGTAAAGTAGCTGCTTGCTTGTTCAACCTACTTAATAAAAATGAGCTGAAACAACACAATTAGAGTTTTTTGGAGGGACAGCTTAATTGTTTTATGTTCAATCAACTTAAAATTGTAAAAAAACATTAAAGAAATGGATTTGCGCTGGGACAACATGTAGAGATTGTAAAATTTAGGATTGTGTTAGATGTAATTATGTATTATTATTTATTGCAATTACTATACTAAATACAAGGAACGTGTAAAAAGGATACAAAAAAAGTGCTGCCAAAAACATAAATCAATATATAAACAAATTCATTCATTAATTCATTTATTCATTTTCTTTTCGGCTTAGTCCCTTTATTAATCTGGGGTCGCCACAGCGGAATGAACTTATCCAGCATATGTTTTACGCAGTGGATGCCCTTCCTGCTGCAACCCATCTCTGGGAATCATTTATATACACTCATTCATGCTCATACACTATGGACAATTTAGCCTACCCAATTCACCTGTACCCAGCCGAGGCTCAAACCAGCGACCTTCTTGCTGTGAGGCGACAGCACTACCTACTGCGCCACTGCGACACCATATAAAAAATACTACTGGTTAAATGAGTAGCACTGCTTCAGAATTAACAATGAAAAATCTGAAAATTGCTTATTGTATAAATAAGGTAATTTTTCATCCTGTGTGTTCTATACAATTCATTGGAGAGCAAAAACGGATGTTGTAACTACTAGGATAGTCGGCATGACTGTTTTTCGGCATAATAGTGTTTATTCAATACACAGTAAAAAGTAATTAGTTGGCTTTACTTTAAAAAAAAAAAAGAGAAAGAGCACGCGAGCAAACCTGTTCCTTTTAATGGAATTAGTTGCCTTTAAAAGATTGAGTAAACCCATTGCTTTGAAATGATCAAGTAAATTAACTATATGTGCAGAATTATAAAAATTAATTCAACTTTTAAAGATCCACAGGGTTTCGCAGTTTTTTTTTTTTTTTACCAAAATAAACTTGATACTTTCAACCCAATGGGTTTACTCACTTAGTAACTGGAAGTTGTACAGTGGGAAAAAAATAACTCAGTAACATTTGAGATGCTACACTGTAAAAAATCTGTTAATAAGCAGTTTTCCATATTTTGTAATTCACATTTTTTTTCCTCGTTTATTTATGCTTTTGAATTAAACTATGGGACATAAATCTTTCCTATCACAAATTTAACCTTGAAAAATTAAAAAATGACTTTTATTAACATTTTTAGTAGTTTAAATTTATAAACTGTCTGGACTAGTGTTGTATATTACAAAAAACCTGCACTGTAAAACAAATCCGTAATTTTACGGTTTATTTCAAGCAGCTAGGGTTCAGAAAAAAAAAAAACGCAAAATAACGGCCGTTAAATTAGAAAAAATTACCATTTAATGGACAATAAATTCGAGAAATGTACTTAAACTTAAATTTCTGGTAAACTTCTGTAATTCAACCTCTGTTATATTACAGGAAATTTCTGTAATTTAATGGCTGTTGTTTTACGATTTACTTCTGGCACCCAGAAATTATTTTCTGGCTGCCGGAAATAAACAGTAAATTTCCGGATTATTTTTTACAGTGTGGTAATAAACGGCTAGCACATTTTCTATTATTTTACTGACTTATTTCTCTGTATATTATTTCTTATACATTACATCACTTCAAAATACTAAAACGTTAATAAAAGTGACTTTGTTAAACAGTAGAGTTGAATTTTCAACATCAAAAGTGGACAGTGCAGAGATTAATTTCCCATAACGCAATTCACAACCGTAAGTAAATGGAAAACACCAAAATACAGTAACTGTTAATTAACAGATATATTTTTTTATTTATTTTTATACTATTTATTATTTATAGCTGCATTGTAAAACTGAAGTAAAAAACAAAGTGTTAACATGACAAAGTAAGTGCCAAAACATCCGTCAAAAGATAATCTCCAGGAATCCCAGTGCAACATATCTCAGGGCTTCTGAATACATTCTAATCACACTATAATCACCTAAAAGTGTGACACGCATACACAAACCCCGGCGTTTTCCTGACCCACACCTAGCTACCCCATCACAAACACACCAATCAGATAAAACTGCTCTTTCTTCAATCACCTGCAGGAAATGGGGGCCAACAAGCCATTGAGTCTAGCAGGAAGGAGATCAGCGATTCCCGCTTTAGAGATAATGCACAACTCTTCTCTCGCTCTGAAGTGCCCTAGAAGTGCATCTACAGCAGTAAATGAAGCTCGAGCAGTTATTCCACACATATACAATGAGTTTAGATATGTAACTTTGGGAGGTTATTAAGGGTGATTCGTCAGATCTGTCGCAATACATCAAGAAAGGCCTTTAAAGAATGTTTTTAAAGAGACGGAGCGGCAGTCTTTCAGATATACGTGTCAAATTCCTTATATCTTCGCTAAACAGTAGTGCTTCCCTCCACAAAAGACACGTAAAAATCAACACCATTACAATAACCCAAACCGAACAGTCAACGATCCAAGACATCTGCATTCTAGCACAATGTTGCACAGACTTCTATAGATAACCGTAGCACTTTTGCGAAACATACAACTCATATAAACAAAAGAAATGTAATTTGATAGCTTATCATGTACACTTTTATTCATTCAGCTCCCTCAATCATCATATTTGACCCATTTTTATCCATCCGTGAGCACTTTTGGACACGACAGGGGCCGAGCGCATGTTTTCTGTGCATCTCGATAGAACAATGCAGGTCCCAATCACCTCCCTCGCCCCCTTTGAAGGGCCCTAAACTTCCTTTGAAGTGCAGAATGGCATACGACCCATACAGAATGCTGCATTCATGTTGAAATGAAGAGAGAGATGCAACATCACAGAGGACACTTCAAAGACCCCGGAGCAGGACTCTGACCTAACTGCACCTTCCTTTAGGAAAGGGACGGAGAGATGGATATATGGATAGGAGGAGATAAACGCTGGGTAAATGGATAGAGATCACTCGTTAGCACAATAGATGTGCAGCGAATAAAAGGCTTTTGATTGAGACCTGGGTTTATTCTTTTGGGAATTATCTTAGTGTGGGAGAAAAGGACACATTGTTGATTTGTAGATCTTGGCATATTCAGGTGTTAAAATAAAAGGAATTTGGATCCCTGCATATTTAATGCTGGGTAAAAAGTCTTTGTGCAAATCATGACGATCTTGTTCTTTATAAGATGAATAGACTTTTTAAAAATATTATGCAACAATGGAGGGCAAATCAGAAAAAGAAATGAAGAACGTTTGCCTGACAAATTCATTAATCTTTTATTTCACATTTTAGCCTTTCCTGCCAGGAAAAATATACTTATAAACTGGATCAGTGACAAACCCCCATCCTTGAAAGGGAGACACAATATTAATAGGGAAATGATTCCCTTAGAATTCCTTACATCTGTCATTCATTTGTCCACTGAGGCTTTTCATCAAGTCTGGACTCCTCACTTGGATTTTATTGACGTTTCTATAAGCTGCATTTTGAGTTGTGGTATTTCACAATTGAATTTATGTATTTTGTTGAAATATTATTTTATCATTACATATTTTCATTTTGCTTATTTATTTGCTCATTATTATTTTTGCTATTATTTATTCATGTATTATAATTCTATTCTTTATGAATGAACATATATATATATATATATATAAATACATTTATTTTAAAAAATGTATCTGTTTTTCTTAAGCATTGCATTGTTAAAATGGCCATTGTCTGTTGGTTTGTTTCAATGTGTTTTGTGATAAATAGTTAAAATGTATTGCACTAAAAAAATGCAATAAAAAAAAGAAATAGCAAAGAGAAACAGAGCATTTCTTATCAATATTCTGAAAATGTTACTTTGAGATTTTTGTTGACAGGCTTTTGAACATGACTAACATGACACTTATATAAGAACAATTTCTAAAGTTCACTTACAATATATTTCACATTTAAAATTTAATTAAAGTCCATCATGCTAACCAAGGGTTTGATTTATTTATTACATAAAAACACAGCAAAATATTGTCTAATAGTATTGTTCTTTTAAAATAAAACTTCTGTTTAACTGTGTTTCTTATCAGACAACACTTCAACAAACACAGTAAAACAGCGTTATTTTTTAAATATTTACAATTTAAAATAACTTTTCTAAAATATTTACTTTTTTAATTTATTTTATTCTTTAAATTTAATTTACTTTTATGAATGCATAGCTGAATTTTCAACAGATATTATTAGTCATAACTTTTTAATAAATTTTAATTAGATTTACTAATATATTGTTTAAGTAACTTGTTGTCGTGCTTTCAAAATAAGCTGTATTTTTTCATTAAAGTTCAAAAGAAATCCATCTGTAACATTATAAATGCATTTTCTGTCAGTTTCAATCAACTTAATGCAATACAACTATAAAAGAGTAACATTTTATTTTTGGTCATTTCTTTTTTTATCTTATTGACCACAAACAATGGTAAAAACACTTTTGAGATGCATGCAAGTGATTTCCCACACATGCAAGCCTCGTCGAGTGATATCCGAGACTGTGGTGATATCAGCTGATGGAGCTCATTGAGAATGAAGAGAGCGAGTGAGGGTGTGTCTCTGTAGATAACACACGTGGTCAAGCTTCACTTCACTAATCATCTCTGGAATCCAGCCACTGATACGAGAATGTGTGTGTCAACATTAAAGACAATGCCACGGTGTATTAGGGTGGGGTAGATTCAGGTTGCCTTTGGCAAAGATGAGCCCTGTGTCCATAACAAGTACCTTCCCCCACACATATAGTCTTTCGCTTTAACATTCTCCCAAAAATTGCACCTCTGTTCAGTCTCAATATGGAGGTGCAGAGAATTGTTAGCAATTTTATAATAAGGAGCACAAAATTCAAGAAACGGAAGCTGAGAGGGACAACAGCTGCCTGGTGTGTTTCTAAAGAGGCTAAAGACAGAAGCTTGAGTATTGGGCATTGTAATGCATGCTGGGGGAGGTGTGCATGTACAGTCCTGGTGGCAACTCTAACTCTTATTAGCCACCAAAACTAGTCTTTTTTTGAGTGGTGGCATCTTAAATCATATGATACGAGCTGCTACACCAGGAGTTTTGTATATTTTAGATGCTACAAACTCCCATTCATATGTGAGGGACATGCCATCGCAAATCATACAAGGTGAAAGGTATACGTCTATATGTCTAGTATATTTTTCTTGTGAAAAGACCAAAATTATGCTATGAAACACTATTATATATAGCATTCAAAAGACTATTTGGAAAAGATTTTGTTTCTTTTAGTGGGTTAGTTCAACTACAAATGTTTATCCTGTTAATAATTACTCACCCTAGTGTTGTTCCAATCCCCTGAGACCTTGGTTTTTCTTCAGAACACAAATTAAAATATTTTAGATAAAATCTGAGAGCTCCCTCATTCCCACAGACAGCAATAGTTCTGAGATGTTCAATTTTTGTAATCATACGAAGCTCCAAGAACACTTTTATGTGGCAAAAAAACCTGTAAAAACTAAATAATGGCACTTGCATGTTGCGCTGTTGACTCTAAGGGCAATATACTGCCCATAGAAAATGCACACCCTGACCTGTCATGGAAGACAAGACAAACTACTTTTTACAGTGTTTTGGGGCACATAAAAGTGTTCTTGAAGCTTCATGTGATTACAGTTGAACCTGAATTGTTTTGGTTTCTTTTCAGGGAAAGAGAGCTCCTAGATTTCATCTAAAATGTCATAATTTGTGTTTTCAGTATATTGGATGGGAGACCACATGGGAAAACTAGGTTGCTGCCGGAAGTGGTGTTGGTGAGGTCAGCAGGGGGCGGCCAACCTGCAGTCTGTGTGGGTCCTAATGCCCCAGTATAGTGACGGGGATTCTATACTGCTCAGTGAGCGCCGTCTTTCGGATGAGACGTTGAACTGAGGTCCTGACTCTCTGTGGTCATTAAAATCCCAGTATGTCCATCGAAAAAAAAGTAGGGGTTTCACCCAAGCATCCTGGCCAAATTTAACCTAACCATCCCCATATCATAATTGGCTTCATCACTCTGTCTCCTCTCCACCTATTAGCTGGTGTGTGGTGTGTGGTGTGGCACAAAATGGCTGCCGTCGCGTCATCCACGTGGATGCTGCACACTGGTGGTGGATGAGGAGATTGCTCCCTATGTTTAAAGGAGTTTGAGTGCCCAGAAAAGCGCTATATAAATGTAAGGAATTGTTTTTTTTTTATTGTCAAGATGAATGAAGGTCTCGGGGAACTGGAATGACATGAGGTTGAGGAATTATTAACAAAATGTGCCATTTTGGGTGAACTTACCTTTTAATGTCTTACTACATATACTGTACTGTATTTATTTCATTTAATCAAGTAAGGGACAGTGGGGGCAGTACATCAAAGATAAACTGGATGACAAAATTGTCCATGGTATAAAAATATAAACTAATAAAAATATCACTGTTTATGTAAGCAACACTGCACAACAGCGACACCCACTGGTGTAGTTACAGTGGGGAATGGGCTCGGTGGGATAATTGAGAATGAATGTGGCAAAGTCAAGTGCTATGACTGAATTAGTCATGGTCAGTATTCGAAGTAACTCCTTAAATTTCACTTTTGCATGCTAAAATGTATTAATTTTAATTAATTTTACTTGATTTAGGTTACTTAAACCCCCTTGACCACCCAAATTAAAATACACATAGTATACGGCTAGTATACATTAGTTGACATTTGAAGTGGATCAAAACCTTAAATCAAAGTTAACATAAAAGAAAACACCTGTTCTTGTCTTGGACAACATTTATTAACTTTATTTTTTGATCCACTTAAAAAAAATGTACATACAGTAAACTACATGCCATATAGAGTATAAATAGAATATAAAAGCCATACAAAGAGTGTCATGCCATGTAAATATAGTCATGCCATATAAATAAAGTAACTTCTAATGAATACAGTAAAAGTGGAAACTGAAAGGCACTTTAAATACATATTTTTAAAATATTAACTATTTATTAAATTATTATTTTTTTTAAACTTATTAACCACAACAATAAATACTGTAGTGTGCAGGGTAAAATGTTGTTTACACTGTTGTCCAAATACAAAAAACATTTTTGGCTAATTAATTACAATTCACCAAGCTCAGATTTTATGTGTGTGTGTGTGTGTGTGTGAGTGACAGATGTATTAAAAATGTCACAATCGTCTTTCATTGTCAGATTTATTCCTTCTTTGCTGGTCTTATGCTGGGATCACACCAAAAGCATAAATAAAAACCATATTATTGCCACAAGGTGCAAATAATGCTTAATTCATGTTGCATTTGCTAATTCAACAGTGTCTCCCACGCAAGTTCAAACAACTGAACTCAAGCAAATGTGATGGGGAGCTTGAGCTCATTAACTTCACTTTATGTTGTGTGATGCTGCTAAAGCACACGAGCAAACACTAGGTTTACTCATTGGAGTTGTCGTTTTGGTAGGGTCACATTGCAGTTAGTTTTTAATTTGCATGACTTTTGAGAAAACTCTAATTTAAACCCACCACAGCTAACATCTACCCACATTTTGTGGGTCTGCAGGTGTTAATGTCAAGCAAATACCCTATGACCTTCCACAGCAAAAGATAATTTTCGAAAATATATAAAACATAGAAAAAAATAAACTATACATTTTTTGATTTCATTTGATTTTAAGGGGACTTTAAGAAAATAAAAACACTGAAAATAAGTTCAAGAAAAAAAACATTTGTCACTGGCTTGCATTTTAAATTAATCTCAAATGGAACACCAATGCTGACACACACAATATATAGGCTACACTGATATGACTTATTTTTTGTGTTTAATTATAAAAGACTTTTCCTCTCAGAAATGTAGTTTTGTGACAAGTCCCAGTGTGACTTATTTAGATGCAGCTTTTCCAGAAAATGTGGTGATTCGGATTCACGGCAAATGAGAGATACATATTGTTAGTAAGAGGAATTTTTCACTCTGTGCGTGCTGTATTATATGAATGCGCAGAATAAAGGTGCATGTTTATCTTTATTTATTATGCATAAATATGATTCAGATTGAACCATGAACAAATCGTGTGTGTGCGTGTGTGTGTGTGTGCGCATGTGTGAGTGAGTGAGTGAGTGAGTAGTACCTGTATATCTTAGCAAGCATATGATTGTCAGCAGAAGCTCCAAACAGATGATGGCCAACAGAAGATACACAGACAGATTCTTCACATTTGCATCCAATAGTGAGGATGGAGCAATTACAGTCAGGATTGCTGCATTTCCTTTGTAATAGAGAAAAATAAAGCAATTGTGAATTAAATCAGTAACAAACTTCTGCATCAAAAAACCAAGCATTAATTACTTGATTTTAACTGATAACACTTATTTATTACAGTTCAGCCTAAGTCTGTATGGGTTTTTTTTTATTTTGGTTTACAGTTTCTGCCCAAAACCCACACACATTACCATTCATAAACATTTGGGTACATAAATTGTTATCATTGCTGTCACATTATTAAAGTAAAACACATTAAACTAATAGCAATGCTTTTAAATATTATAATAAACATTTCAAATAACATGGTATTTTTTATTTGAGGACCATTTTAAAATGTAATTTATTTCTGTATTTTAGCAGCCATTTCATTCAGCACTGACAAACTGAATGAAGTTAGAAGTGATAGTCATTGTTTTTAATTAAAAATGTTATTAAAATGTCATTACTGTCACTTCTGATCATTTTATTGCATTAATTTATTGCATTAACATCATGTAAAATAAAAACTAAATGAATAAAAAAACTGACTGGCCTAAAAAGGTAGTGTAAACGTTGCCATATTTTGAAATATTGCACAAAATAAATAAAATATTACAAGGACTTAGTATTAGGGATGGATTTAGTATTAGTTTTGAGGAACATGAATTGTATTTAAAATAATAAATTAACATGGTTCATTATCAATTGATAAATTCCATATATGGTGTATACAAGCGTTAAAAAAAACTTAAACAACTTGAAAATTCTCAGTTTCTCTAAACAAAATTTGCCTCAAATCTCAGTATTATATTTTATTATAAATTGGTTCTATACAAATGGAAGAAATGTTATCAGAGCTTCAGAGAATAAAACAAATATCAATATTTTAATCCAATAATACCAAGTAAATCAAGCAATTCCAGAAAAACCGACACTTTTTCAACTGGTCTCAATTTTTTCCACAGCCTATTTACAGTCCTAATGATAGCTTAAGCACTGCCATCTAGCGGTCAGTTGTAAAACATTCATTCATTCATTCATTTTCTTTTCGGCTCAGTCCCTTTATTAATCTGAGGTCGCCAAAGCGGAATGAACTGCCAACTTATCCAGCATGTTTTACGCAGCGGATGCCCTTCCAGCTGCAACCCATCACTGGGAAACATCCATACACACTCATTCACACACATATACTAGACAATTTAGCTTACCCAATTCACCTTTAGCGCATGTCTTTGGACTTGTGGGGGAAACCAGACCACGTGAAGGAAACCCACGTGAACAATAGGAGAACATGCAAACTCCACACAGAAATGTAAACTGACCCAGCCGAGGCTCGAACCAGTGACCTTCTTGTTGTGAGGTGATTGCGAGTTGTAAAACATTACAGTGCTACACGGAAAATTGACAGCATACTTCAATCACCTCATGTGATCCACAGAGATTAATTCAGTTTCTAAAGTGACAGATAAAGAGAAGAAATATGTTTCACCTGCAGAGTGAATGAGTAGGGGAAGGCTTTTAATTCCTTTGGTCGTCCTGTAAAAGTCCAGATAACCTTTCCGTCTCACTGCGCTGTGGCGACGCTGGACAACTCGATCGTATATAAAGACGACCACCCAGAGAGCAACTTTTCCCAGTAACACCACGGTTTTGGAGTCTATCCCATTTAATGCTGCAGTGCACTCAGATGTGTGTTCATCAGATATCCAGCAAAATACTGTAATTACGATACACACCACCACATAAACCACCTGTAGAAGAAACAGAGAAATGACAGAAACACATTTAACAGGGTGTTCTTTAAAAATACTGTCAGGATGCACAGAAATAAAAATATGTCATCTCTGGAACACAAAGGGGAGTAAAACATTTATACTCCTAGTATAATAGTGTATATTAAATATTAAAAATTGGATTTTTTTGGTTTTCAAAGCTCTCCTGCTCACCAACCTGCACTTAGTTAAATCAAATATTGATGAAATATTGGGCCGCATTGTGGTGCAGTGCTGTCGTATCACAGCCAGCTGGTTTGACCCCCGGCTGGGCTAGTTAGCATTTCTGTGTGGAGTTTGCATGTTCTCCTCGTGTTCACATGGGTCTGTCAAAGACATGCGGTAAAGGCGAATTGAATACACTAAATTGGCCATAGTGTATGAGTGTGTATGGATGTTTCCCAGTACTGGGTTGCAGCTAAAAGGGCATCTGCTGTGTTAAACATATCCTGGATATGTTAGTGATTCATACTGCTGTGGTGACCCCTGATTAATAAAGAGACTGATTAATTTTCGGAAAAGCTGAAAAGAAAGTTATTGAATGGTGCAATATTTTTACAATTTAAAAATAAAATGTTTCTCTGTGTTAATAAATTTAAATGGGAATTAAAAAATATGTATTCTTATTATTTAAAGCTGAATTTCTAGCCACATTACTCGAGCTTTTAGTGCCGAAATATTTATGTATTTACAATTTTTATAATATCTATAATAATATATTATTATATGTTGATGTGCTGCACTATTTTAATTATTTATTACTGTTACTTTTCAGTTTCATCACAGTTTCCATAAAAACATCAGCATAGTATTTTTTGTGCGACAAATTACTTTTCAGGATTTTTTGATTAATATTAACTTCAAAATAACAGGATTTATTTAAAAGTAAAGCTTTTGTAAGATTATAATTGTTTTAAAGCCATCTTTAAACAATTTATTTGGTCGTTGATTTAAAAAATCCCGATGGTTACACATCACAGATCTAAATAAATATTAAGCAGCAATAGTAATCAGAAATGTTTCTGGAGGCGGCGCAGTGGCGCAATGGGTAGCACCATCGCCTAACTGTAAGAGGGTTGCTGGTTTGGGCCTCAGCTAAGTCAGTTGGCATTTCTGTGTGGAGTTTGCATGTTCTCCTCTTGTTGGTGTGGGTTTCTCCGGGTGCTCCGGTTTCTCCCCCAGTCCAAAGACATGCGCTATAGGTGATTTTGTAAGCTAAATTGTCTGTGGTGTATGTGTGTAAGAGAGTGTGTCTGTGTTTCCCAGTGATGGGTTGCAGCTGGAAGGGCATCCGCTGCGTGAAACATATGCTGGATAAGCTGTCAGTTCATTCTGCTGTGGCGACCCCAGAATAATAAAGGGTCTAAGCTGCAAAAAATTAATACATTTTTCTGGAGACAAAAAATATGTTTTCTGAAAGATCATGTGACCCTGAAAACTAGAATGACTGCTAAAAATGTTGCTTTAACTACAGGAATAAACTACATTTTACATGAACACACAGATGTTTCAAATAAAATATAATACTTATGTCACAGCATAACACATATTTACAATATTTCAATGATTTAAAATACATTTTGATAAGGATTAACTACTTTTAAAGGCAATAACCAATCTTAATGTTTCCAAACTTGTAACCAGTACTGTATGCTTGTGCAATATTTTTTTCTATACTTACGTGTAAAAATGATAGGACACCCACTGCCCAGTGAGTGCTTAATGTCTGAAACTCTCTCTTGATTGCCGACTCAAGTGCATCTTGGGATACGAGTGGTCCATCAATGAGAGGGTCATCATCAGTGCTTTGTGTAAAATCTACATTGGTGTTATTCTAAGCCACAAAAACAAGACAAAGATGAGTTTAAAATGGGCATTGTAATAGTCAAAGCAACTACAACAAATAGCTGAAAGCTACTTAACGGGCATCAAATGTTACTTTGAAGCTATACATTTCAAAGTGCTAATGCACAAACTCTATCACAGCCCAATAATGGCTTTCTATCCCACAAGAAATTTGTAAAAGACTAATGTCACTGGCTAAACGATCTGGTCAATTGCGCCATTATCGGAACACTTGGTTACCGTTACTCGGACAGCAGCCTAATTACAAATAGACCAGAGCCACTAAAAGAAGATTTACTGATAATAAAGCACATAAGTTAGTGTATTTTTTCTAAAACTAGCCAAAAACATATGCGCACAAAAATATAAAGAGCAACAAACACCGTAGCAGCACAAGCATACAGGTAAATAAAGGAATAAATCATTCACCTCAACGCTATTGTCTGTCATAAGATTAATATAGCTGTACTCGTGACTATTTTCCTGACGTTACACGTTTTTTGCTACACATAGAAACACATCAAAATGAACAAACAGAATATTTATACGCACGCCGTATGCCGATGTGCGCCCAGACTCCATTACCATGGCCGGTCATAACATATTAAGCCCAAAAATCAAATTTTTCGTGAAAAAGCTCTAAGAAACATTTCGAAATTGAACTTCCGGGTGGCGATACTAACGTTACCAATCCTGGTAGAAGAAATGCTTCACTCATGAATATTAATTACGTCACATGACAATCTTACACGGAAGCGTGCCTCATGAATATTATGTTATAAAGCTGTCATGTGTATTTCCTGCCTTCTTTTCTTTTCCAAAACGCTAGAAAATAGATTTGTCTTGGTTTAAATAAACTATATTTATTTGTCGGACGTGATGCAGTGGCGCAGTAGGTAGTGCTGTCGCCTCACAGCAAGAAGGGTACTGGTTCGAGCCTCAGCTGGGTTAGTTGGCGTTTCTGTGTGGAGTTTGCATGTTCTCCCTGTGTTCGTGTGGGTTTCCTTCGGGTGCTCCGGTTTTCCCCACAGTCCTAAGACATGCGGTACAGGTGAATTGGGTAGGCTAAATTGTCCATAGTGTATGAGAGAGACCCAGAGATGGGTTGCAGCGGGAAGGGGATCTGCTGCGTAAAACATATGCTGGATAAGTTGGCGGTTCATTCTGCTGTGTTGACCTCAGATTAAAAAAGGGACTAAGCCGAATAGAAAATGTACTCTCAACATTTTGTTTAAAAACTTTAATGGTTTGCCACAAAAGAGTTTTTTGGGTTTATTGGGTTATTGGGTTTATCAAAATGATTGGGTTTTACAGTGCAGTTACAATAAAATGTTAAAATCTTTATGTTGAAACTGTAGTTTCAGAGAAATTTGAGAAACACCAGAGTTGATTATTTTTAGGATCCCTCTGCAAAACATGGTGAAGGAGCCTCAGTCATTGCATTAATAAAATTGAATGTCAGTGCTGTCTGATCTGATTGTAAAATAAATCATAGAAACTTGTGCTGTTGGGCACAAACTGTCTGTGTGGTGTAAATAATCAGCATTACTTAGTCATGTCTACAAGCATAAACCTTATTCTGGACATAATCTAAACAAGTGTATGAATATTATAGTTTTATTGCTCAGTCCTAACATGAAATTCAATATAAAAAGCTTGTAGAATTAAGAATACTTATTTGCCATCATCAGTTTAAAATAAATTACCTTCACTTTATTTTTATTTATTTCAATTTAAACAAATAGGCCTTTATTTATTTATTTTGTCATTTATTTTGCATTTTAGACCAAATGCAGCCTTGGAGAACAAAATAGACTACTTTCAAAAGCTTTTACAATACATTTTGAAAGGCTTTTAATCCATATTTATTAAATTTTAAAAATAGTTGTGCAAATTCAATTTATATCATTTCAGAACAATTGAATGGAAGTTTCTGTTTAAACTGTTTAAACCGATTGGTGTCGCTGTTCGTGCAGGAACGCGTGCTAATATCAGCCGAGGAAACCGTAATAATGGCGGCGACCTGTTCGTGGAAAACATGTGAAGAAACGGAACAGAATACTTTTATTGGTAATGTTTTAATACCCAGAGTATCATAAATGTAACATAATATATAATTGCTGTTATTTGTTAGCTGTAATAAACTAATCTTATTCTTCCTCTATGTATTTAACGCACCCACGTGGATATGGTCATCTCGACCAAATAATAAACAATGTACACTCAGTCTAACAGTATAGTTGGTAAAACTGTCACGCATTGTATTTTAAAGCATTATTCTTGTCATTACAGTTAAGTTCTCTAATGGAAATGTGAAAAATGCCGAGGAGCTGGACTTTACTGTCTTCAAACACTCAAATGCATCAAATCCCAGAAAGAAAAACAGACGAATAGTGGTAAAACACTTATACCTACTGAAACTGCGTTTGTTTTATAACTTTAAAAAGTCTAAATTGAAGCAATTGTGTTGTTTGTGCTGTTAGGAACTAACTTTATCTTTTCTATGCAGGTTGCAGATTCAGATAGGCTTCCCTATGTAGGGAGCAATTTTGGGTCTGGATCGCTGCAGTCTAATAATATGTGCAAGTGAGGTCATCACGTTGTTATTGATTTGCTGAGCAACACTTAAATAACCTCTCAATAATGGTGTAAATGTTGTCAACAGGTATTTTGTGGGAGTTCTTGACAAGCAGACTATGCAAATGAAAGTTCATAGTGCTCAGCTGTTCAATATGCTGCCCGTTATACCAGGTAAACAGTTTTACATCTGAAATATTATGGACATAAATGTTTAGGACTCTTAGAGTTCAAAGGAACTTTTACTCGTTTTTGTGGGTGAAATTGTTTGCATGCCTTAAAGTCTGTTGCAATATTATTTTTATTACCGTGTTACTGAGTGCTGTTAGTATAATATCTCATACATTATTATATTTTGTAATAATCGTTAATGGTTATCATTTATAGTGAACAAGAATATTTATACTATTCAAATATTTTTGTCATGACAGCGCTCTGAGAGGTTTAGTATGGTAATAAATATGTATTTGGCATTGTTGATGTATTTGGTCTTGGCGGCATAGATCTGCTACGCTGCTGCTGCTTTGATTGCTATAGCGGAACAAGTTCTGAGACTTGCTACTGCCAGTATATTTACAGACATGCAGTATAGACTTTTTTGAGAAATGTAAACAATAACTATGGTTTAAATGTATTTCCTGTTTTACATTTTTTGTTTCCATAGTTTCTAAAAGGTCCACCTATTGATAATGTTATGACCGCTGTTTTTAACGTTAAGATGGGATTTCATTGAAATGCTTCTTGTTACAGTTATGAAATAGTTTGACAGGACATGTTCATTGACCGGTGATATCATATTGAAATTATATATATATATATATATATATATATATATATATATATATATATATATATATATATATATATATATATATATAAAAACCCGTAGCAAATATATACAAAGGTGGAGGGGGTTCTCTGAGAAACACACTAGATACTATATAATGCTCCACTATTTTCTTTTCCAATTCAACAGTAATGTAATGGCCCAGATCAAATTTTTTTTTGCTTACATGTGACTCAAGTAATGACAGTGTGAACAGCCCAAACCGCATGGAATCTCACCTTTATAGTTCAGATTTGTTCCACTATCAAATGCGAAATGCGTCATTGTCTGTGCTGCAAACATCATCTATTCCTCAGCAGCATTGTAGAATGACACACAGGACAATTACTTTACCACAGAAAGTTGGTTGTTCATTTTAAAAAAGATTTTGAAGGCTAAACTGGTTTTGTTAACGATGGGGCACGGGTTGATCATGACGCTGAAGAGCGTCGTGGGTGTTGCAGATATCCGTACACTAAGGAGGGGGCACTTTCATTTTAAGGGGGAAATTTCTTTCCAATAGAAAAAAGGGCAGGTGCTCAAGCACCCGAATCCCCCTTCAGCACGTGCCTGCTGTTTATAAGGAAGTAAAATAAAATAACTCTGCAAACAGAGACCAACTCCACCTTCACAGTTCAGTTTGCGACTGCTCATTAACCCTTGATGAGTTTACCACAGCGGTGGTCAGAAAGACACGCACCGCGGTTGTCATAGATCACAAATGATCAGTGTTTTCAAATCACAAGTGACTTATTTTAGGTCTGAAATGCGGTAATACGCGTTCGTAGTAGCAGAACAATCCTTTAAATTTTATGAAATATGAAAGGGGCAATAATCATGTAAGCATGATCTGACAATTTGCTTACTTCATACATTTAGTGCAAAATTAGACATTTTGTGCTGTCCGTAATGTAATTTTGCGCATGCAGATCTGTTCACACTGCAAATCTGATATTGGCCACATTTATAACAACAATGTAAACAGCTATGCAAAAAAAATAAATCAGATCTGAGAAAAAAAATCAGATTTGAGCACTAAGCCACGCCATATGAACACAGCCTTGGAGCCAGGAAAGTGAGTTATGGTTTTATTTAGTTTGATTGTTTGTCACTGAACAGGATGTGCATTGTTAATTCTGTGTCTTCAGGTGAAGCAACAGAAGCTGAAAGCGAAAATCAACCCTCAACATTCAGAGATAAGGTAAGTAGCTCATCAGGTGAATATCTAAATGGATTGAACATATTACTATATTAAACTGTATAACGTTGAAGTCAGAATTATTAGCCCACCCTAATTATTAGCCCCCTGTTTATTTTCTCGCCAATTTCTGTTTGACGGAGAGAAGTTTTTTTAGCACATTTATAAACATAATAGTTTTAATAACTCATTTTTAATAACTGATTTTTTTATCTTTGCCATGATGACAGTAAACAATATTTGACTAGATACTTTTCAAGACACTTTTATACAGCTTAAACTGACAACTAAAGGCTTAACTAGGTTAATTAGCTAAGGGTAAGGGTAATTAGGCAAATCATAGACTATCGAAAAAATATAGCTTAAAGGGGCTAAATAGTTTTGACCTTAAAATGTTTTTTTAAAAATTAAAAACTGCTTTTCTTCTAGCCGAGATAAAACAAATAAAATTTTCTTCAAAAAAATATTATCAGACATACTGTGAAAATGTTTTTGCTCTGTTAAACAACATTTGGGAAAAATTTAAAAAGGAAAATTTAAAGAGTTATATCTACATTATGAAATGCACCAAACATTACATACATCAGGATTATTAACATTATTAACCATGAGAATAGCAATTGTCCTATTCTAACTATCACAGCCTTTCATATTTTATATATTTTTGTTTATAATCTATCAGTAGTGTTTAGTAACTTTAATTATTATTAACTGCATACAAACTACAACTGGTTTAAGAATGTGCTTTTGCAAACAACTTCAGGAGTATAATTCATAGATGTATTCAAGATGCAAGATTCTAAGCATTTATTGCATAGTCATATGCACAGTAAGGAAGCAGGGTACAAGGAAATTCTTTCTTTGCAGTCCACACTGAATGCCAAGGAAGGTTTAAGGTAAAAAAATAAAATAATTTAACAAAAAGGCAATCGAAGAGCATGCAAAAAAATATTTACATGACCTTTCGATCTTGTTAATATGCAAAGCTTTAATAAGGTAGAATCTACTAACTTGATCTTGCAAACAACTACTAACTATTAAAAATATATATAATTCATGTATGCATGATTTTACTA